CATTCTGGATCGTCTTGGAGATGTGCTCTGCTGAGCTGGCCATTGGCCACTTAGACGGGATAATTAATACAAAGCACTGCATAGCTATGGGCTGCTTAGCCAGCAAGGAATATAATACTTTATGACTCTCTCAGGCTCAATCACCCTTTTTGTTCATGAAGAGAGCTGAAATTAAACTCACTTTAGGTTGATTTTGACAGATGCGAAGGTTACTTTGTGGATTGTGTTGGGGTATCTTGTTTACTCCTTGTCTATTCTTGGATTTTACAGTCCTGTCTTCACCTCATATCCTGCTGATTGACTGTAATGCATTTTTGTTTTTCTTTGCTGTTCTGTTGCATTTCTCTTTAAAAAAAGAAAAAAAAGAAAATGGCCTCTGGAAACACAAGGCCTCGTGCGGCGATGAGCACATTCTGAATCGTCTTGGAGATGTGCTCTGCTGAGCTGGCCATTGGCCACTTAGACGGGATAATTAATACAAAGCACTGCATAGCTATGGGCTGCTTAGCCAGCAAGGATGATGGCTGAAACTATTTAGTCCTTCGTCTTTCATTCCATTTCAAATCTTTCTTGCTGAAGAACAACTCCCCGTGACCCTTAAACTCTGATAATCAATAGGTTTGAGAGCAGAATACAATATCTAACGCAGGCTCCGGGGGTTTAAGCAAAATTCTGAAAACAGGACCTTTCATTGTAGAAGACGTTTCCAGTCATCATTACTGGAAATGGGTATTTTCCACTGGAGGAGAGGATTTACCCTGGCTAGATGTGCGGCTTTGCCGTCAACGTCACTCGAAGAGAGATTTCAGAAAAGCCCATATGCGGAATGATTTTGCCTCTGCACTATAGGTGAAGTGGAATCGCTGGGACACATCTTTTTTCTGTTGCCCCTTTTATGAAGAACTACGGGACAAGATTATTTCTCTCCTTTTAGAGAGACCGACAGCTTTCACGGATAAGCCCTGTTTGGAGAAACTTGGAATAGACGAGAACCCAACGACCACCAGGAAAATAGCTAAGTTCTGTGTTTATGTGATCAGGTTCCATAGTAAGGAACAGAGCCATACATACATAGGGGTCCACCTCCTTTCCTTTTGGTATGATCTTAATGGTTTTAATGATTTTGATGTATATTTCAAGGGGTATTCTGTGTTTACTGTATCTTACACCCTATCTGCTGGAATCTAATGGGGTTCTTGTTTTATTTGGGACTGTTTTGAACACTGGAGGGCCCGTGTTAGAGTTGCCAACCTCCAGGTCATGGCTGGGGATCTCCTGCTATTACAATTGATCTCGAGGCGACAGTGGCATTTTCGGTGGCAGCTCCTACCTGGTGGCTCCCAGAAGAGATCCGGGCCCTGCGGGACCTCTCTCAGTTCCGCAGGGCCTGCAAGACGGAGCTCTTCCGCCAGGCCTTTGAGTAGGACCCGCCGCCGCCATTATTCCACCTTTGCCCCCTATGCTCTGGCGTATTAACATAATTTGCCTGGCACCCCAAGGGGGGAGCGAGGCGCCTGGGCACGGCTTAGATGATAAGATCTTAGGAAGTAGTTTGGAAGTTAATATCTACCCATCTTGTCTAAATCTGTTTGTAAATTTGTTATTGTATTTTATTGTAATTTATTGTTTTTAAACTATGTGTTTACTGTTTTAGCCTTGGCACATGGTGCCCTTGTTAGCCGCCCTGAGCCTTTGGGGTAGGGCGGGATATAAATTCAAAAATAAATAAATAAATAAGTGATCCGTTCACCTGGGGGAAATGGCCGCTTTGGAAGGTGGACTCTATGGCATTATACCCCATTAAGGTAAAGGTCAAGGTTTCCCTCGCTCGAAAGCCAGGCGAATCCGACTCTAGGGATGCGGTGCTCATCTCCGTTTCCAAGCCGAAGAGCCAGCGCTGTCCAGAGACGTTTCCGTGGTCATGTGTCTGGCATGACTACAGTCAACTATATATTTTTAAAACTCCTCCCCGTTGTTTACAAGTTTCAAAATCCCTCCCCTCCCCAAAACCCGCCCTCCTCAGGCTCCACCCCTGAAATCTCTGGGTACTTCCCAACCCAGAGCTGGCAACCCTATCCAGCATCGTGCAGTGGTTCGAGTGTCAAAACTAGGATCTGGGAGACCCAGATCTGAATCCACACTCTGCCACGGAAGCTCACTGGGTAACCTTGGCCAGTCACATGGTCTTATCCTAACCTACCTCACGATTGTGGGGATAGCATGGAGGGAGGGGTGGATGATTATATAAGCTGTTTTGGATTCCCCCTGGGATGAAAAGCAGGGTATAAATAAAAACGAACACAGACAAAGCATGGCACCTGAGCATTACTGAACACTCTCCTCCACCTATGCATTCCCGTCTGTCTCTGTGTGTACGATAGTTACCTAGACAATAGCTTGACTGCAAAATTTCACAAAAACCGAACTTTCTTGTGAGTTCGAGGGCCAATATGGTATAATAGTTAGAATGTCAGAGTGACTCGAATTCGAAACTTCACTCAGCCCTGAAGAGCACTGTGATTTTTGTATGGATTGGGGACTGGGCCAGTCAGTCCTCCTTCACGGGTTTGTTTGTTTTTTGAGGGGGTGCAGTGAAATGGAAGGACCAGAGGACGAGGTATGAAGCCTTGAGCTCCTCAGAGGAAGAACTGAATAAAAATGTGATAGGGTTAACATAAGAACATAAGAGAAACCAGTGTTGGATCAGGCCAATGACCCATTTAGTCCAACACTCTGTCACACAGGGGCCAAAAATACCAGGTGCCATCAGGAGGTACACCAGTGGGGCCAGGACACTAGAAGCCCTCCCACTGTTGCCCCCCCCCCAAGCACCAAGCATACAGAGCATCCCTTGCCCCAGCCTGAGAGCCCCTATCTATACCTTGTGGCTAAGAGCCACTGATGGACCTCTGCTCCATATGTTTATCCAGTTCCCTCTTGAAGCCGTCCATGCTTGTAGCCGCCTCCACCTCCTGTGGCAGTGAATTCCATGTGTTAATGGTTTTTTGGGTGAAGAAGGACTTCCTTTTATCTGTTCTAACCCGACAGCTCAGTAATTTCACTGAGTGCCCGCGGGTTCATGTCTGCAGTTCCCCACGTCCCCAGAAAGATCCAAATAATGCCAGACAGGTGGAACCATGCATCCGGCGTGTTGCATGCATCTGGTGTGTTATATGTGGGTTAAGCTATTTAGTACATCTATTTTCAGGTCCCTTCACATTTGACATGCAGCCAAATAAATTTAAAAATGCAGCATGTAAAATGAAATTTATGCCTACCTCTAGAGGGGAAGCAGCAAGGTCCTCTGGGATTGACCATCATTTGGACCCAGAGAAAATTAATCTTTCTCTCATTGGACTACCTTGATCTTATCCTGGTTTTGCATGGGTAATCGTAACAGACATCATCGACTGTCCTGAGCTTCTTTCCATTGAACTCCACTCAATCCAGATATCCCGAGCAATGTTCCCTCTATTTTTTCCCCCTACTGAACAGAGCAGTTCACATCCTGAGCACACTAGAACTGCTGTAATCTTAAAATGGGCAACTGGCAGTGCAAGACTGCACGGCTCCGGATTGCTGCTGAGTGGGGCTTCCTGTGTTAATGAGCGGCCGATCACACTCACAGCTTAAAGGGAACACTGAAAGAGTTTCCATAGTGTTCTTTGCATTGATCCCCACTCAATCCAGATATCCCAAGCAATGTTCCCTCTATTTTTCCCCTCTACTGAGCAGAGCAGTTCATATCCTGAGCAGAAGATAACTGCTGTCAGGGCTATTTTGGGGGAGGAACGCACAGGAACGGAGTTCCGGCTGGCTCCCGAGTTGGCCACGCCCAGCAGGAACTCATTAGCATAATAGGCCACACCCAACAGCAGAGACTCATTAGGATTGGCTACATTAGGGGTGTGTGGCCTAACATGCAAAGGAGTTCCTGCTACAAAAAAAGGCCCTGGGTTTGGACAACAGACAAGGTAAACAGAATAAGAAGCAAAAGGTCGGTGTCGCTGGATGGCCACCCTTCTGGTAACATGGGGGTGCGGACTAATATGCTAATGAGTTTCTGCTGTTGGGTGTGGCCTATTATGCTAAAGAGTTCCTGCTGGTCTTTTTTCTTTAAAAAAAAGCCCTGACTGCTGTAATCTTAAAACGGGCAACGGGCAGTGCAAGACCCTGTGCGGCTCCAGATTGCTGCTGAGCGGGGCTTCCTCTGTTAATGAGTGGCCGATCACTAGGGCTGCCAAGCCGCAGCGGGGGATCCGCATGTCTTCACAGGATCTCGGCCGCGGGGGACAGCGATACGCGTTGCACCGCCGTCGCCAGGATGTGACGCTACGCTGTCCCCCGCGGCAGGGATCCTGTGAAGACGTGCGGATCCCCCGCCGCAGCTTGGCAGCCCTACCGATCACACTCACAGCTTAAAGGGAACACTGAAAGAGGTTCCATAGTATTCGGAGCTCAGTACAAGCATTTAATCTCTTTTTAAATTTTGAAGTCATGAGGCCTTTTCACTGTCATTTTGGATGCTGTAGATCGTGGCCTTTCCCTTTATCAATTGGGGGGTCATTCTTACCGGTAGTTTGCCATCGGCTTGCAGCTGGAATTACATTTCCATCTGCTTTCCTTTTTGCTCGGTGTTACAATACTGCTAGAAAATCCAGCAGTACTTTTTTGCTGTTTCCCCTGGGCTGCTTGAATGAGTAATAGTCCTCCTGGGCAGCAAGCATCGGGTAGAGCATCCTTCGGCAAGGCAGAATCCTCAATCCTCCCATATTCGCTTCAAGGGACCATTGGGTAGCTGCTATCTTTCATCTTCACCTGGGGACCGAGCCGATAAAAAGAGCAGTTTACCCACCACAGAGCTGCCATTGCAAATGGCATAATTCCACGGCATAGAATTTACTGCAGAGCAAACTCCTGCTATCTGAAAAGGCATGTGTGAACACAGTGTAATTATAAGACACACACAAAGTTGACGTTGCTTCTTCTCTTGCCCATAGGTTGGCGTGATAGGAGAGGAAGAGGAATGGGTGACTCTGTGCGAGGTGGAGAAAGAGTCAGATGCTCAGTCGCTGGAGATCCCGAACCTCACACCTTACACCTATTACAGGTGAGAACAGCTGGTAATTAATTGCCGCGCCTGACGAGCCGGTCCATGGCAACAAGGGGCAGCTTTCGAACTCACCAGCAGCTGGCAGGCGGCGGAAGAGGGGGAGGACAATTTACACCTCAGCGGCTGCTGTGCTTAAACACCCCCCATCCCCCCGTTTCCCGGCGCATGATGTATTTTAATTGTCACCTTTGCATAGAAAAATAATTAATCAATCTGGAACTGTGGAACAAGGTGTAAAGTGTATCACTAAATAGTGCTGGGGAGTAACTTCACACATCCTGATGCGGAGAGTTTGTCTCGACAGAAAGTTGCGTGCTGGTTTAATTAAAATTGATCTGGCTTCGTTTGTGTGGAAATGGCACTGGAATCGTTTATATCACATTGGCCTCATTCTGTAACTTGAGTCATTCAACACTCTCCCTCTCTCTCTCTATACCAGGCTGAGCTCCGTGATGTTACAGAACGAATTCAGTCTGTCTTCGGCTTCACTCGCCTGTCATTTTGGGGGGGCTTCAAAATACTGCCTTCCCTTCTCCTACTGATTTTGGATAGTTCTACCTACTTAACCCCTTTCAGCCTTCTCACGGTGGACGTTTGAGAGGCACAATTCAAGTGGCATGCTTTTCTAGCGTAGTCGAGCCTTGAAATGTAGGCCGTTCTGCTGTAAATCTCAAATCCTCACCAGACCTGAAACCATTAGTGAGGGAAATCCTCGAACGATTCTAAGAAAAGGGAGAACAACAGAAGCCTATATTTACAGTTGGTGGTGAGCAAGGCATCTTCTGCTGGCTCTGCAGGAGGCCAGCTGGTCCTACGCTGAGGCTAGCGATGGCAAACCACCTCTGCATGTCTCTCCCCTTGAAAACCCTACAGGGTCACCATAAATAGGTTGCAACTTAACAGCTCGCTTTTCACCCCGACCTGGATGGTCCAGGCTAGATCGATCTCGGCAGATCTCAGAAACTAAGGTCCTTTTCGCACTAGACCTTAAATCCTGGTTCAGCCCTGTCCCTTAACTTACATTCTACACTACATGCGAGTTCACCCCTGTAATTATCTCGGGGTATTTTTACATTCTACACTACACCCGAGTTCACCCCTGTAATTATCTCAGGGTATTTTTTGTTTCGTCCCACACTTGTCCTGGGATAAACGGATGCTGTTATAACCAGGGATAAATGCAAGGTATTGGTCCTTTCCACACTTGGAACTCATCCCTGGTTTTATCAGAGTTAATGTTTATGGGTTTCCTGGCTTCGTAACCAGCCCTCAACTTTTGAATTAAGGCAGAGTTTAAAAAAATAAAATAAATGTAAACCCTAATAATAGATCACTTAACCGCAGCGTTCAATGTCTGCTATATTTAGAAAGCATCGTAACTTTTGATCCTGCGTAAAGACATTCCCCGGGGTGGTTCTGCCTGTTCTCGTTGTGTTGATCAGCAAGGGATGCTCTTTTTCTCTTTTTCCTTTGCCGTCCTATTCCTCAGAAATTAAACGCGTGAATTTTCCACACACACACATCTCCATCCTCTTAAAGGCTTCACTTGCTGGGTTTCAGTTCCACAGGCTGCTGAGTAAGATCACTGCGGGGTGGATGGAAACCCTGGCAACTCTACTGGATACACCTCTTGATGAGAGTTCCATTACTGGGTGATTTCGGACTGCCTAGGTGGGATCCCGACCTGGATAACACCTCCGTCCTCCGTGACAGGTGGCTGTGCCCTAATCCCAACAAGACACCTTGTCTCGTCTTTGGAACATAGCATAAAAAGAGCCCTGCTGGGTCAGACCAGTGAAGGTCCATCCAGTCCAGCATCCCACCTCACACAGGGGCCAACCAGTTCCTCTGAGGCCAACAACAGGGCAGAGAGGCCGAGGCCTTCCCCTGAGAAGAATGTAAGAAGAGCCCAGTTGGATCAGACCAGTGGTCCATCTGGTCCAGCATCCTGTCTCACACAGGGGCCAACCAGTTCCTCTGGAGGGACAACAACAGGGCAGAGAGGCCGAGGCCTTCCCCTAATAAGAACATCAGAAGAACCTGCTGGGTCAGACCAGTGAAGGTCCATCTAGTCCAGCATCCTGTCCCACACAGTGGCCAACCAGTTCCTCTGGAGGGACAACAACAGGGCAGACAGGTCAAGGCCTTCCCCTGATAAGAACCTAAGAAGAGCCCTGCTGGGTCAGACCAGTGAAGGTCCATCTAGTCCAGCATCCTGTCCCACATAGAGGCCAATCAGTTCCTCTGGAGGTCCATCAACAGGGCATGGAGGCCGAGGGCTTCATAGGAACATCAGAAGAGCCCTGCTGGATCAGACCAGTGGTCCATCTAGTCCAGCATCCTTTCCCACACAGTGGCCGACCAGTTACTCCAGAGGGCCAACAACAGGACAGAGAGGCCGAGGCCTTCCCCTGATAAGAACATCAGAAGAGCCCTGCTGGATCAGACCAGTAGTCCATCTAGTCCAGCATCCCGTCTCACACAGTGGCCAACCAGTTCCTCTGGAGGTCCAACAACACGTCATAGAGGCCAAGGCCTTCCCCGATGTTGCCTCCTGGCACTGGGGTTCGGAGGTTGACAGCCACTGAACATGGAGGTTCCCTTTAGTCGCCATGGCTATTAGTCACTGATGGACCTATCCTCCATGAATCTATCTAATTGCCTTTTAAAGCTATCTATGCCTGTGGCCATCAATACATCCTCTGCCAACGACAGACAGAAAAGACATTTCTTCAGGAATGGTGGCGTTGTATGGAGTCTCTCATCAGATCCTGGAAGCTAAGCAAGGTTGGTCCTGGCTAGTTTTTGGATGGGAGAACACCAAGGAATGCCAGGGTCACGACACAGAGGCAGGCTGCGGCACACCACCTCTGAACATCTCTTGCCTTGAAAACCCTACGTGGTCGCCATAAGTGAGCTGTGACTTGATAGCAGTAACAGCCACAAAACAAGGTGAAAAACCCTAGTGAGGTCTCACCAGTTCTGCCTCCGGAAGTTCCTCTCCCAACTGGATTTAGTCCGCCACACTGGCACTTTTGCCAGGGGCTTGGGGAACATCTCCCACCTGCTGCTGTGTGATGGGGCATCTTGTCTTCTCTGTCATAAGAACATAAGAGACAGCAGTGTTGGATCAGGCCAAAGGCCCATCCAGTCCAACACTCTGTGTCACACAGTGGCCAGAAATACCAGTGCCATCAGGAGGTCCACCAGTGGGGCCAGGATATTAGAAGCCCTCCCACTGTTTACCCCCCAAGCACCAAGAAGACAGAGCATCACTTGCCCCAGAGCCCCTATCTATACCTTCTGGCTAATAGCCACTGATGGACCTCTGCTCCATATGCTTATCTAATTCTTTTTGAAGCCGTCCATGCTTGTAGCTGCCACCACCTCCTGTGGCAGTGAATTCCATGTGTTCATCACTCTTTGGGTGAAGAAGTACTTCCTTTTATCCGTTCTAACCCGACCGCTCAGCAATTTCATGGAGTGCCCACGAGTTCTTGTATTGTGAGAAAAGGAGAAAAGGACTTCTTTCTCTACCTGCTCTATCCCACGCATAATCTTATAAACCTTGTCATGCCAAGACTTCACAGGGCAGTCTTAACACAATGAAAGAAAGGGGTGTTGGGGGGGAGGGATATAAAGCACTAATTATGGGAGCTCGTCTACGTCTTTTGTCAAAACGTGATTCTTTTCTTCCGCGCCCTGTCAGTGTTTGGGAAATTAATGGAGTTGTGATGGGTTTTGTTGTTGGGGTTGTTGTTGTTGTTTTTGCTTAATGTGTTTCCTTTTAATGCACTTCCCTAACGAGACGGGGAAGACAGACTTAATGGCATTACAGAAGCTTTCTCAAGCTTTCCACAGTGCCCGTCTTTAAATGCCAAAAATCCAGCATTTCCTGGCGGTGTCGAGTGGCCGACGTGCCGAGGCGAGAAGTAATAATCAGCAGAAAAGCTCCTCCATCCGCCGTGGCAGGTGGCTGTGTCCTAATCTCCACAAGACATCTCGTCGTCAAATGGGAAGGACATTTCTTCAGGAATGGGGACATTGTCTGGAGCCTCTTACCTTGAAGGGGAGGAACTGGAGGAAATGGGATCAGTTTTAATCCAAGTCTTTGTATTTATGAATCTGCCATCCTTCTGCCCTCAGTCAAGCAGTTTGTTTAGGTCTTTGAAGGTAATCTTTAAGGGAAGGTGTAATAAGGACTGGAACCCAGAGAAATCCTTAGCAATGGAGGTTTGCTTAAGAACACAAGAAGAGCCCTGCTGGATCAGACCAGTGGTCCATCTAGTGCAGTATCCTCTCGCACACAGGGGCCAATCAGCTCTCCTGGATGGCCAACAACAGGGCATAGAGGCCGATGCCCTTCCTTGATAAGAACACAAGAAGATCCCTGCTGGATTAGACCAGTGGTCCATCTAGTCCAGCATCCTGTCTTACACAGCGGCCAACCAGTTCCTCTGGAGGGCCAACAACAGGGCATAGAGGCTGAGGCCTTGCCTTGATAACTACACCAGAAGAGCCCTGCTGGATCCGACCAGTGGTCCATCTAGTCCAGCATCCTGTCTTACACAGCGGCCAACCAGTTCCTCTGGAGGGCCAACAACAGGGCATAGAGGCCGAGGCCTTCCCCTGAGAAGAACATCAGAAGAGCCCTGCTGGATCAGACCAGTGGTTCATCTACTCCAGCATCCAGTCTCACACAGTGACCAACCAGTTCCTCTGGAGGGCCAACAACAGGGCAGAGAGGTCGAAGCCTTCATAAGAACATCAGAAGAGCCCTGCTGGATCAGACCAGTGGTCCATCTAGTCCAGCATCCTGTCTCACACAGCAGCCAACCAGTTTGTCTAGAGGGCCAAGAGGTCATAGAGGCCGAGCCTTCCCCGACATTGTCTCTTCGCACTGGGATTCAGACGTTGACTGCCTCTGAACATGAAGGTTTCCATGAGTCTAGTAGCCATTGACAGACCTATCCTCCATGAATCTATCTAATGTCCTATTAAAGGTGTCTATTCCTCTGGCCATCACTACATCCTCTGGCAGTGAATTCAACATTTTAATCACTCTCTGCTTCACGGGTTGGGGGTCATGTGCCTTCCAACCACCCAATCACTGCTCAGTTTGGTTTCTGTCAACAGGGTGTGGCACCTAAAAAATTTCTCCAGATTTGCTGATGTGGCAATTGTGTTTTATCATTACTACAACTCTCTGTCTTGTAAGTGACCCATTAGTTCTGACTGGTTCTTAAGAGAGATCTGAATCGTGCCTACCGGTTATATTTTCAAATGCAGGTGACCTGTTTGCAGGCCCATAGCTACCGGGGAGGGGGGGGATTTTGGGGCTCCGCCCCCTCAGATGTGAGGCGCGCCCCACAACAGCTGCTGCCCCTCTCCTGCTGCCCCACAAAATTTACTATGCCCCACCAACCCAGGATTTCTGACTATGGGGCTGCCTTTTTTTTTTTGCTTATTTTGTTTTCCATTCCCACTCGCTTTTGGTGCAACTCGTACCCCGGTTTGCGCCCAGCCACCATCTATTCCAATTAATCCCAGACTCCATTTTATGACCCTAGTATGCCCAGTGTTTCAGACTTTTCCATCATACCCCAAAGTCTATTTTTCCTCCTCCTCCCTTTCTCGAGGTTGTGTTTTGCACAGAGCCAACCCGATGCAAGAGTGTCCGGAGAGCTCAAAAGCTTACTGGCTGCTTTCTAACATTTTGCTTCTTCCTAATAAATAAAAAGCATAGCTCTCCCACTCTCTCTCCCTTTGGATCATTAACCAAGAGAAGAGCGTACCTAATGGGATTTAAGTGTACAATTAGCTTTCTCCATCTTGAACCTTCTAGGTTAGCAACATTTGCAACAGTAAGGCTACAGCCTTTAAGTGGTTATACGTACAATGCAATCCTACGCATAGTTACTCAAGGCTAAGCCCATTGAACGAGTGAAGCTGTCTTAGGCTGTGGTCACAGAGTTATTTTGATCGGGTTTCAGTGCTCTTCCCTCTTGCATTTCAAATTGTTGATCAGACACCCAAATCCGTCTCCCGCACTGAAGTGGGCTCACTCACGCAATCCTTCCAGTTCACTAACGAGTTTTCCGACACTGGGAAAATCAAATACTTTCCAGGTATTTGCGCTTTGAATCTGCAATTTTGCCGAGCTGGGCATCCATCTCTCGCAATGATTGCAATTAGACCATCTGACCGTCCTTTGCGCGATGAGGTCCCCCCCCCAGCTTCCGCCTTTGTGCGCATGAGCAGTCCTGCGCTGAATAAATTCAATGTTTAAACTTTCAAGTGCACAGGGCTTTTTTTTGTAGAAAAAGCCCAGCAGGAACTCATTAGCATAATAGGCCAAACCCCTGATAGTGCAGTGCATTAGCATATTAGGCCACACCCCCATGTTACCAGAAGTGTGGTCATCCAGCCACACCCACCTTTTGCTTCTTATTCTCTTTACCTTGTTTGTTGTCAAAACCCAGGGCCTTTTTTTGTAGCAGGAACTCCTTTGCATGTTAGGCCACACACCCCGAATGTAGCCAATCCTAATGAGTTTCTGCTGTTGGGTGCGGTCGCTTATGCTAATGAGTTCCTGCTGGGCGTGGCCAAGTCAGGAGCCAGCCGGAACTCCGCTAACTAGACGGTGCCCAGAGCCTTGTTGTGCAATGCTTGTGGTTTGGGAGGGATGTGTGATCATCCCAAACCGAAAAAAATATATATTTCTGATCAAATCTATAGCGGGAACAAATCGCAATATGCTTGCCACGTGACCACAGCCTTCTATAGGTCTGTCAAAGTCAGTATTGTCTGCCCTGACTGGCAGCCGCAGCTCTTCGGGATCTTGGGTTGAAGTATATCATTCCCTGTTTGAACTGCTGCCTTCGGGCAGAAGGTATAGGACAATTAAAGCAAGGAAAAATAGATTAAAAAATAGTTTTTATTCGAGAGCTATTATTGCCTTAAATGCTGTATGAAATTGGAATCTGGGTGACATTGGTGGTTTTAAGTTGCTATGTGAACCATAAGGGAGTTATGGGACAGTTGTGAATGGTGTGTGAGTGTATATGAATATTGTTGTAGATCACCGAAATGATCTACAGTGGCTCAGTGGCAGAGCATCTTTAATTTCGTTGTACTATGTACAATGACAATAAAGTATATTATTATATTATTATTATTTCGTCACTCAGTACCACGACTTTTTAACTGGAGATGCTGGGGATTGAACCTGGGACCTTCTGCATGCCAAGCAGGGGCTCTTCCACTGAGCCACATTCACTTCCCAGTATTAGACAGGAGTAACACTGCATACGGCTGCACTTCTAGTTGATGAATCAATTCAAGCTTTAGCCGAAGGAGGCTGATTTTATCGGCAAGGGCGAATCTTTATCGGGAAGGTTGTGAGGTCTAGGTCAGGCTCGCTCCTTTCCAAAAGTGATTTTGCTTGTAATATGTGGCTGTAAAAGGGAATGCAAAGTACCGTCGACGGCCTTCACTGCTGAAACCAAGATAGCTTTTATGGAAGTCATAGGCTATGAAACACTTCCTTCTGCAACTCCAAAAGGTGTCTGTTTTGGAGTTCTGTTGATCTGCAAATGTATTGACTCGTCAGTGAAAAAAGGGAAATGATTAACGAACGGCAAATTCGTTAATAGTCAATCACCCTAGCAGAAAGTTTTCCGTCTCTCTCCCCGCCCCCACTATACTTTCTAACCATTAATCAGTTTCTTTTTAACAACTCTTTCTATAGCTAGCATTTACATAGCCTGATATTTGTCAGATTAACTTTATGGCCATTTCTTGAATGAATGATGTTAATTTGCGGTCAAGGACCATTTATCAAACTATACAAATTTGTTAGAATACAAACAAATTAGCTTTCGGCTCCAGATAATATTTCGACATATTTAGACATATAACCTTAAAATCATTAAAATGTTAAAAGGAGAAGAGTTTGACAATAATTATAATTATAAAATGTCTAAAACTAAGCTAATTATGAGTCATGCAAAAGGTGAGTGTTATACTTGGTCTTATTGTGGAATTTTACCGGTTGCAAGCAGAATTTTGCTATTTGTCTGGAAATTTGCTGATTTTCCTCTACCAAAAGTTTTTCTAGGTCAGCACTTTCTGCATCAAGTGCTGGTCAAGCATTGGACGCCACCTCTGTGTTTATCGCTGATATGTGTTTACGAGGGTGATCCGGGACTCCCAGACTACGGTGCGCCATACCCCGTCACTCCCGGCCCTCCCTGAATAGCGTGCTTGTGCCCTTCTCTGTTCTTCAGGTTCAGGATGAGGCAGGTGAACATCGTCGGGCAGAGCCCGCTCAGTCAGCCGTCTCGCATCATCCAAACGCTTCAGGCGCCACCGGACGTTGCTCCGGGGAGCATGACCGTGCGCACGGCCAGTGAGACCAGCTTGTGGGTCCGATGGGTGGTAAGTGTGTTTACTAATCTCTCTTAATGGTTTACAAAATTTATACCCCATCTGGCTGCCCTTGCAAATCCATATAACACTTATTTAATAGTTGAATAATTTTACTCAACGTTGACAGAGTATTGTAGAAAGAGTTTTAGCAATTTTGTAATTAACACAGGCAGTTTTAGTGCAGTTTTAAATTTAAATATTTGATATTTTTTATCGGTACCCTTCTTGGTATTGATTGTAATTAACTTGTGCTGGTTATATACCGAATAAACTATGACTATGACTACGGCTGCCCTCACAAAAGCCGCCGAGGCAGCGAACGTTTAGAAAACGTGCCTAATAAGGACAAGTTTTAAAAGCCATTAAAAGTAAACAAAAACACATCATTAAAGCAATTAAACATCGGTCTACAGAAAGCATCACGACAACAAATAAAATGTACGGTGGGAAGGAGAGATCACTGAGGAAATGCCAAATGGAACAAGAGAGTTTTCACCTGCTGGCGAATGATAGCAGCAGAAGGGGACGGTTTGGGGCCACAACTGATAAGGCCATTTCCCAGGTTGCCTCTAAGCTGAGTTAGTGTGAGCTAGCTTACAGTTTTTAGCCTCCGGCTCACACATTTTTTTGTCTTAGCCCAGGAAGGACGGCTCCAGAGCAAACTAACTTATGCAGTGGCCAAATCGCTCGCTCACAACTTTAAAGCCAGTAGCTCACAAAGTAGAATTTTTGCTCACAAGACTCCACAGCTTAGAGGGAGCATTGGTTGCCACCTGTGTGATCTTAGAAGACGGAGACACCCAAAGCAGATCCCAAGCCACATAGGGCTTTAAAGGTCAAGACCAGCACCTTGCATTGTGCCCAGAAGCAAACTGGGAGCCAGTGTAGATGGTCCAAGACTGGAGTGACATGGTACCTATGGCCCGTTCCAGTCAACATCAGGGCTCCAGCATTCTGCACCAATTGAAGCTTCTGAACAGTTTTCAAGGGCAGCCCCATGTAGAGTACATTGCAGTAATCTAATCTAGTGGTTACCAAGGCATGCACAACAGCAGCCAGATCTTTTTCTGCCCAGGTGGGTAAAAGGCACTCTTGGCCACCGGTATCACCTGCTTATCCAGCAGTAAGCCTGGGTCCAAGAACATCCCCAGATCTGTTCCTTCAAGAGGAGTGCAACCCCATCTAGAATGGGTGACCCCCTTAAGTCCCGGGTCAGACTTTCCATAGTCCCAAGAGATCTCCAGCCATCACCTGGAGCTTGAAGCCAAAAATGAGAGATCACGGGAGGAAGTGGAATACCAAAAACAACATCCTGTGCAAAAATAACGAAGAGTCAATAAAGATAAGTTGCAAAAACGTTTACTGTAGTAATTCTGTAGAAAATTTTCTTCTATAATTGCTCACACGCTAACGAATGCTGCGCAATGTAAACAATTCCGTTTCACAATATTTGTATCTGAGCGTGTAGCAATCCCAATTCTTATCAATTACTACTTATCAATGCTTGAAGGAAACATTCCATGTCGACTCTCTAATAACAGAACCCAAGGTCTTCACACATTTGTAAACGCTTTTGCAACTTATCTTTATTGACTCTTTGTTATTTTTGCACAGGATGTTGTTTTTGGTATCCCTCTCCATCACCTGGAGGTTGGCAACCATATTTACTGCAGACCTTCAGACTATGGAGATCAGTTTCCCCTCCCTTAAACCTGCCCTCCCCAGACTCCACCCCCAGATCTCCAGGACTTTTGTCAGGATTAAGCTTCAGTTTATTAGCCTCCATCCACTCCAGCACTGTTGACGGCAACTGGACTGTGTTGAAGAAAGAACGGCCTTTCAACTCTACTTTTCCTGTTAGCAAGGAGTCCAAAAAAAAAAAGCACAAATAACTTATTCCCCAGTGCATTGACAGTAAAAGTTATTTCTGTCCCCCAAATAAGGATATTGCCATCTTCTGCTATTTCTGTTCTGCTCTCTGGCACGCCGCGAGCACCAGCTCAGCTCCGCATTTCTGGCTGCATCTTCCCTAATGAACTGAACAATAAAAGCATAACAAGAAATTATAAATGTGATATAATTAGAATAGAACAGATGCTGCCGCTTGTTTGTTCGCGGTGATAGAATGCTGGAGAAAGACCGTGAAATTCAGTAGTTCCTGAGAGCGGCTCTCGATCGGAAGTTAGTAAAACTGCAGAGAGAGAATTTCTTTCTGCGTAGGAAAAAGGAGCGCCACTGTGCAAGTTTGAGCTCTGCGTGATTGATTAGGGAGCTAAGTGATTAACTCTGGGACCTGGTGATAAATTGCCGGACCACTGATAAATGAATTTATCATGCAGCTTTGACCGCTGCACCCTCCCCTGAACCTATCTCGCTGGAAAACATCCCCGTTTTTCCAATTTCCGGTGCTCTCCTGCTTCAAACTGTTTTCCTAAGGAGGTTTCATCCTCCTTATCCCCATCGAGAACAGGGACGCATTCCCAGATTTTCCTGAGGATGTGTTGAAATGAGCACTGTGATAGCTCTCCTACCATTGAAGAGAAGAAGAAGAGCTTGGATTTATACCCCGCCCTTCATTCGGAGTCTCGGAGTGGCTTACAAACTCCTTTCCCTCCCCCTCCCCACAACAGACACCCCGGGAGGGAGGTGGGACTGAGAGAGCTCTGAGAGGACTGTGGCTCGCCCAAGGTCCTCCAGCTGCTGCGAGTGGAGGACTGGGGAATCAAACCCGATTCTCCCAGATTAGAGTCTGCGCACTTAACCACGACACCAAACTGAGGGGAACGTATGGTTGCCAGCCCCGAGTGGGGAAGTTCCTGCAGGGTTGAGGGCAGAGCCTGGGAAGGGCTTGGGGAGAGGAAAGTCCACACGATCAGCATTGTTGTCAGGTGGCCATCTAGACTCTGTTTCAAAATAGGAAAGTCCACACGATCAGCATTGTTGTCCGGTGGCGATCTAAACTCTGTTTGAAAACCTCCAAAGAAGGTTTTCCCTCCTCCCACCTCCCGAGGAAGCCTGTCCCACTGAGGAACCACTCTAACTGTCAGGAAGTTCTTCCTAAAGTTTAGCCGAAAACCCTTCGGATTTAATTTCACCCTGTTGGTTCTGGTCCGACCTTCTGGGGCAACAGAAAACAACTCTGTACCATCCTCTACAGGGCAGCCCTTCAAGGACATGATGATGGTTATCATATCTCTCAGTTGTCTCCTCTCCAGGCTAAACATACCCAGCTCCTTCAACCTTTCCTCATAAGACAAGGTCTCCAGACCCCCTCACCATCTTTGTTGCCCTCCTCTGGACACATTCCAGCTTGTCTATATCCTTCTTAAATTGTGGTGCCCAAACCTGAGCACAGTACTCTAGGTGAGGTCTAACCAGAGCAGAGTAAAGCAATACCATCACTTCGCGTGATCTGGACACTCTACTTCTGTTGATTCAGCCCAAAATCGCATTTGCCTTTTTAGCAACCACCTCACACTGCTGACTCGTGTTCAGTGTATGGTCTACTAAGACCCCTAGATCCTTTTCGCACATACTACTGCCAAGACAAGTCTCCCCCATCCTATAATTATGCATTTGATTTTTCCTACCTAAATGCAGAACTTTACATTTATCCCCTCTGAAATTGATTTTGTTTGTTTCCAGCCCAATTTTCTATGCAATATACATTTTAATAAGTTGTTGAAGGCTTTCACGGCCGGAGTTCATTAACTGTTGCAGATTTTCTGGGTTGTATGGCCGTGGTCTTGGCATGGTTTCCTGTCCTGTCCTGAAAAACACAAAAGGCTCTACATCTGACAATAGCTCTACAGATAAGATTAGAACCTCCTGAGGAAACAGGAAACCTCCTCAGGAAACAATCCATATACAAAAGAACCTCCTCAGGAAAGCCCCTCCCTTAGCATGTTCACAGCCTGGGGGACGCCTACAAGATAATGACTCAGCCCTACCCCACCTTCCTGAGTAGATATAAATTACCTGCCTACCGTTTTTCTTCTCACCTTGACACAGAGAGGACTCCCTCTTTCTGTGTTATACCTCTGAGGATGCCAGTCACAGCTACCGGCGAAACGTCAGGTCCTACAATGCCGAGACCACGGCCATACAACAGCCAATATACGTTTTATTTTTTCCAGCCCAATTTTCTATGCGGTATACATTTCCCAAATTCTCAGGACTCTGGAGCCATCTCTACAGCAACTGGGAATCAGTTTCTCCTCTTGTTTGTTTTTTTGTCATCTGCCCATGGGGGGCCTGCCCTTCAGACAAAGAAACAAGCTACGAATCCCTCCGGCTGTGATCACAGCTCTGTGGTTACACCTGAAGTAGCTTTCTGGATTCTAGTCAAAGAGTCAGGAATGTTATTCTAAGTAGGTGAGATGGATCAATGGGCAGAGAGCCAGTCAGGCAGACACAGATGAAAGGCCCTGGATTGCATGACACTGCAGATAACAGCATGCATTTCATTGCTGCCTGAGTGAGGTTAAGAATAATCCACCAAGAATAATGAGCTTTGGAGAGTTTGCGCCTGTGAATTAAGGCCTTGTTTACTGGCCCTGGAGCACCGCCAGAGATTATTTTGCATCTTCTGTGCGGAAGGGCCGAAGCCAATCTGCCTATCTATAAAATTGCTGTAGGGTCATAGAATCATAGAATGTTAGAGTTGGAAAGGATCTTGCAGGTCATCTAGTCCAACCCCCTGCACTCTGCAGGAGCATAGCTGAAAGATAGCCCTACATACCTACAACATACCGGAAAGATGGTCGTCCAGCCTCCGCTTGAAAACGTCCAGCAAAGGAGCATCTGCCACCTCCCAAGGCAAACTGTTCCACTGCTCAACCACTCTTACAGTTAGGAAGTTTCTCCTGATATTGAGCCGGTAACGACTCCCTTGTAATTTCCACCCATTAGATCTAGTCTTGCAATCCGGAGCAAGAGAGAATCGATCCGCTCCATCTTCTACATGACAGCCCTTCAAATACTTGAAGACTGCAATCCTGTCCCCTCTAAGCCTTCTCTTTCCCAGGCTAAACATACCCAACTCTTTCAGCCTTTCACAGAGGAGCATTGCGTATCATGGGTTTAACATTGAGAACTCACCCCACACTCCCGCTGTGCCCCTTCTGCTGGACAGAAAACACAATGTGGGGATTTCAGAACCTCTCTGTGACAGGTTCAGTTGCTTGACCCCTGCAGCGTTATCAAAGTCAAACTGTAAAAAAAAAATACTCTTATCTTATACTGCATTTGACTACAACTGCTAGAATACTTTATGCTAAATATTGGAGAAGAGCAGAAACACCTTTGAGAGAAGAAATATTAAGAAACATTTTGGAAACGGCAGAAATGGAGAAATTAACTCTAACTTTGAAAGGACAACCAGAAACCACATTTGAACATACATGGTCGAGGTTTTATAAGTGGTTGGAAGACTACGATAAGTAAATTATACAGACATTTGAAACTTGTTAAGGATATATAAAGTACAATTTTGATATATTTGCAAGTGATATACATAATGCTATAAGGTGAAATATATACGTGTACGATAAATTAGGCATGAGTTTGTCAAAGAAGGAATTGTAAGAATAATTTCCCCTCTTTTATGTTGTTATGTCTCTAAAATAAAAAAAAAATGATTAAAAAAAAGCCAGGGGGCATCCCGGAGCCAAGGTAAGCATTTACAGTCCACTTCCTCCAGTTCCAGCAAACGGCAAAAGCTCATGTCGTCCAACAGTTCTGTACCCCGTGCTTTCAGGTGTCACCGAATGTCCCCTCTCTCGCCCATTGCAAACCCCCTGCTCTCTTTTTTATGCTCCTAGCCTCTCCCCGATACACAATATAATGGAAATCCCGAGTCGGTGGGTTACAGGATCAAATACTGGCGTGCGGATGTGCCATCTGCTGTGCTCATAAAAGTCATCGGCGATCGTCTGGAGAGGGAACACACAATCGAGGATCTTCAGGAGTGGACGGAATATGAGCTACAGATCCAAGCATTCAACGCCATCGGGGCGGGGCCCTGGAGCGAGGTGGTGCGGGGCTGCACCCGGGAGTCAGGTGAGTCTGTGGTAACTCCCGTTGCCTTTGACCCGTTTTCTATAGCTTCTGAGTGTCTACAAACATGATGAACGCTTTCACATTGAGGGCAGCTTTACATATACAAATTACAGGTATCGGATCCATATCTGGCAATCAGCAGAACCATGTGTTGTATGCAAAAAGTCCTGATCGCTTTTAAAAAATGAAGACGAGTGGAGGAAGGACCAGGGGTGGTGATGTGTGCTTAGCCACAGCCAGCCATTTTCCTGCTCAGTATTAATGTCCCACCACTATGTACGTATCCTCTCTACTAGTGTTTCCTGGGAGGAAATTCTTGTTTACCCCCATGAGATGGAACTAGGGATAGGCACAAAGTGAGAAAATGGATGCTCGTGGTTCATGGAGTCTCACGAACGACAGGTCGTGAACCTCCACAACCTTTTTTCCATTTACCATTTTTCTGCTCAGTATTAATGTCCCGCCGCTATGTACTTATCCTCTCTACTAGTGTTTCCTGGGAGGAAATCCCTGTTGACCCCCATGAGATGGAACTAGGGAGAGGCACAAACTGAGAAAATGGATGCTCGTGGTTCATGGAGTCTCACGAACTACAGGTCGTGAACCTCCACAAACGTTTTTCCATTTACCATTTTTCTGCTCAGTATTAATGTCCCACCACCATGTACTTATCCTCTCTACTAGTGTTTCCTGGGAGGAAATCCCTGTTGACCCCCATGAGATGGAACTAGGGAGAGGCACAAACTGAGAAAATGGATGCTCGTGGTTCATGGAGTCTCACGAACTACAGGTCGTGAACCTCCACAAACGTTTTTCCATTTACCATTTTTCTGCTCAGTATTAATGTCCCACCACCATGTACTTATCCTCTCTACTAGTGTTTCCTGGGAGGAAATCCCTGTTGACCCCCATGAGATGGAACTAGGGAGAGGCACAAACTGAGAAAATGGATGCTCGTGGTTCATGGAGTCTCACGAACTACAGGTCGTGAACCTCCACAAACGTTTTTCCATTTACCATTTTTCTGCTCAGTATTAATGTCCCACCACCATGTACTTATCCTCTCTACTAGTGTTTCCTGGGAGGAAATCCCTGTTGACCCCCATGAGATGGAACTAGGGAGAGGCACAAACTGAGAAAATGGATGCTCGTGGTTCATGGAGTCTCACGAACTACAGGTCGTGAACCTCCACAAACGTTTTTCCATTTACCATTTTTCTGCTCAGTATTAATGTCCCACCACTATGTACGTATCCTCTCTACTAGTGTTTCCTGGGAGGAAATCCCTGTTGACCCCCATGAGATGGAACTAGGGAGAGGCACAAACTGAGAAAATGGATGCTCGTGGTTCATGGAGTCTCACGAACTACAGGTCGTGAACCTCCACAAACGTTTTTCCATTTACCATTTTTCTGCTCAGTATTAATGTCCC